GGTTTTTCCTACAACGTGGGGATTTTTTTTTACCAAAAAAGTAGCCTTGTGGGGACGGGTCCAAATGCAAGTTACGGGTGTAGGGTTATGTTTAGGACCAAGGTTTTAGGTTAGTTTTAGGGTCAGGTAGGTACCTGTGAGGTTAATTTTAGAGTACATGATCAGGGTTAGGCTATAAAGGCTAAAAAACATGAATGGAAGTCAACGGAGGGTCCCCACGGGGTCAAGAAACAAACGTCAATCTGGTATCAAAATATCACACAAACCATTGTACCGATTTTAATGTAACTTGTAAAAAGTAACCACTAAATGCACACCCAAAGCTGATTAGAGTCAAATTGATGCAAGATGGCTGCCACAATAAATACATAAATGGATACTATATAACTCAATCAGTTTTACAGGTACTAAGCGAAAATTTGTTGTGGTTATATTTTTGCTGTCACTTATTTGCAGCCAACTCTGTTTGTCATTTAGTAAAATATCTCATGAACCACTGACCAGATTTTAGTAAAACCTTTAGGAAATAATTTGCCTGTATAATTCATTGTGGTTTGTAGCCATCCCAACTCAAGATGGCAAGATAAGCTTGGTTAAGTTAAATCAAGCTCTGCATTATTTTTTTAATGCTGAGAACAGAAACAAAAAAAAAATGCTGAAGTTTGAGGGGATTTAGGGACATTTGTTARTCTGCACCAAAGCTGTGTAGACATATAATGCTACAGGGAGGGAGGAGAAGTGGGTGATGCTGAATGAACGAGAGATGGGAGGGGAGGGTGAAGAACAACTCAATCCCTATCCTTCTCATTTTTCCTCAGGGAGGGCAAACAGAGATACAAAAGAGGAAGACAACAGCGAACAGACAAATGAGTCAGTCACAGATATCATGAATGGTCATTTCTACGGCAGGCTTCAGCGATGATGTGGAGGCGAGGAGAGTCACGGAAACAGTCAGAGGAAGAAAAAAAATAGAACGGTTTGACTCAAACTATCGTGCACACCAATACACGCGCATGGATGCACCGACACACACGCAGACACACACATAGAGTGGCATACATGACCTGGAGGTGGATATGTAATTGCAGTGTGTTTAACCCAGCCATGTGTCTGCTGTCTAGACGTGTTCACATCACTGTCCCCTCAAAACACACACACACACACACACACACACACACACACACACACACACACACACACACACACACACACACACACAC